TAGCCCATCGCCTACAGTACAAATGTGTACAATGTTGTTGAATGCATTTCAATTTCCAATCTGCGACTTTAAGTATTGTAGTGATGGATTGCAAACAGCCAACAAACAACGAGCCATCATACAAGAACGATGACATTCTGATGGAATCTATCGAATTACTTCATCCACATAGATTTAGCCTAGAGAGTATCAACTCGGAAAAAGTATATTCTATATATTTCACTCATTAACAGTTGATGATTGTTAAGGTAATGCATTTCCGTAAAAACAAGGATAACAGTTAAAATATCGTCGTTCTGATAATTAAACAAGTGGAAGCAATTTAATTAAGGCCATATACTTTGATGAAGAAATGTCATTCTAAAATGTCCATCGAAAATTATGCAGGAAAAAAACAACAGGATTGAAAAATGTGATTGAAAAAAAGAAAAGGAAAAGTTCAGGGTCATTTTAATGTGAAGGTCACGTTGAATAGAACTCCAATGTGCGTACTCTAATCAATCAGTTGGTTATAAAAGTAAATAAGAGATTTATCGAGATAAAAAATGAACCGAAAAACAACTGATCTTGTATATTAACAAAGATGAAACAAATTTATTTGATACTGGGTGATGATTGGAGATGCAATGAAAATTTGAACCACAACCGAATTCGAACCAGCGACCACTGGGTTTCTGGCCTGATGCTCTATCAACTGAGCTACGAGGTAGAGCATTGGGCTGATTCGAATTCGGCCGCAGTCCAAATTTTCACCTCACATTCAATCATCATTCAGTATAAATAGTCTGCCAAACTACGGCTATCTCAGATAGTCAAATGATAAGAAATGCATTTGAATTATAGACACGCTACATCCTCCTTTGCTTGTGATTTATGCTGACATATAACAGTTGACACCCTCACGCTAAAAAAGCCTAAATTGAAATGGATAGTAGCCGAGTTTATATTGAGTCGGATGAATGGTTAACACATTCAGTGTGAAACCTGAAGTTCCTGAGTTAGCTCCCTGGAGTCGTAGGCGAGTACTGCTGAGAAGTCCTATGCTAGGACGAAACAGCTGACAAGTGTTCCCAAATCTTGAATGGTTCATCAACTAATGTCAGTTCGTTATAAACACTACCTTGATTCATTTTCAATACGTACGCCAAAATTATAATTTCATGACTAACAGTAAGCAGAATTTACTCTTTGACTGATATTAAGTAATTTTAGGTTGGAAGTCATCATGAACTGGAATCAGTTGGAGGAACATTGGAAACCTAGGAGCACTGGAAAGCTATTTCGTCCTAGTATAGGTCTCCTCAGCAATGCGCACCAGTGACTCCATACCCCAGGGATCGAACCCAGAACCATCAGGTTTCATGACTAGCAAGTTACCATTAACCCACTGGGTTGGAGTCCAATCGTCTACGTTCCCTACTTGTCAGTTCACTACGTAGCGCGATCTACATCCAATGTCGTCGTTGAGTAACTGTCTTCATGTTCGACTTGGTTGAATCCACTGGTCCCTACTTCTCATTGGAACTTCGGGAATTACCTATCGAAGCTAGTCACCAGATTTGCAATGTCCCTCCAACTGATGTCACTTCATGATGAATTCCACAAACCTCCAGATGATATAAAGGAAGTTAATCTAGATTCAAGTTGCTTCCTTTCCTGCTTGACTTCTTGCTAAACCTAGCGAGAAAGGGTTATGTTTTTCATCCGACATCAATCACAAAAACTATGAGTAGTGTAAACGTACCAGAAAGTATACACAGATGACTCATGTGGTGATAGATACTCATAACTCTGAGGAATTATAATTCCCCTTAGAACTTTCGATGCATTTCAATTACGAGTGAGTCAAAAAGCATAAAACTCAGGTGCAGCAATTTCTGCACATCGCTGAGTATAAAAAATTAGGGGGTTAAATAACAAAAGCCATAGAAAGAGAATGCATGGATACATTACTTTTAAGCATTTGTGCACTATTTATAATTGATATAGATAAACCATTCCCACTTTATACCGCTTTAATTGAATGCAAAAAAAACCCAATTTAATATGGATACAGTAGGGCCCTGGGACCTAGGTTTCGTGTTTGTGGGCACCCATAAGCACGGTGTGTCTGCAAACTAGAGGGGACTGATGTTCCCTATGAGATTCGAAACTGTATCACCCAGTGTTGTCAACAGCGATGTTACCACTAAGCTGTTCTGGCGATGCCGATGCGGACCTCATAGGGGACATCAGTCCCTTAGCGGTTGAATAGACACCTTGCTGACGAGTCCCACCATGCTCGAAACCTACATCCGTGGCTTTTTGCCGATTGCCTCCAACCAACTAACATAATGTAGGTGTGTAGTTTCTAACTATTTTCGTTAGCCTTCATCTATCCATTCTTTCTGCTCTCATACACTTTTATCTATTTGAATATCTTTTTTTTCCTGTTGATTTTTTCTTTGTATGCGCTTTTGTGAAGAGTACCAACTTGAAATGATGCACTCCTGTATCAGGTTCTACGTTGATTTGTCCCTATCTGTGCATATCAGAGAAAACAATGCATTGTTTCCAAAATTCAAGTTATCCCAAAGGAGCAGGATATCTAACTAGAAACCTCCTATAAGTTGTCATAAGCTGTTCGTACCTTGTTTGATTTTGAAACAAGGAATAACTGAGCATTTATTCAAAATTTGAATAACAATTCTCCCCAGGTGATAACTTGTTTATCCCTACGGCAACAAAATTCGAGTGGTGAGTCAAGGGGAAAAGATGAGTTGGGCGTCCGAGGGTTACATGGAAGAGATCGTCTGAAGAAGAAATGAAACCTTATGGGCAGTCGTGGAGACAGGTTGAAAAGACTGCAGAGAAGAGAGTGAAATAGTGACATGCTACTGAAGCCCTATGTTCCACTAGGAACCCAAAGGAAAAATAATAGTAATAATAATAATAATAATGGCAACAAAGTGAGACTCTAGACAGCGATGTTTAGGCTCCAGTGTCAACTACCTGACTGCCGACACCTCGGTAGGGAGAGCAGAAATCGAACCCGCGGTCCACTGGTTGAAAGTCATCTCCCTAAACCAATCAACCGCAGTCCCACCATACAGGCGGAGTAGTAAACATACACAAAGATTGAAAGATATGATACATAAATATAATCATCATCACGTACTCTAGCATTAGACGATGTATGGAAGTAGGATAAGTGAGGCCCTAGTCAGTTTTGTTGACCGTTATGCTTGGTCGCAAGGAGCAGTCTAAACTAGTTAACTAGCGTGATGGTGATTTCAAAAATTACTGCTTACAAAGGATTCACAAAGTGGCTTAGAATATATTACGACAACATACATATTTCCTCGCATTACCTCTATCTTAAGCATGAGTTTTGAAAAATAGCAGTCAACTCTTAACCCCTAGCTTACGGATTCCACAGTAATCCCACCTACAAAAACCTGCCACTTAGACACAATCGTCTATCTTTATTTACACGATAACTATGGGAAGTTGGTTAGTGTGAGGAACTCCAAATTGTGTTAGTTCATTTACTTTATATCCTTAATCATTCTGATATCTGTTTATGTCTCCTGACTTACTAATCATGTTCTACTGAAAAGTCTGCCAGGTGAAATACACGCAACACTTAATGCAAGGTTATGCACTATTGTTTCGATTGCACTCTCTAACATCTTATTCACAGAGTCTCATAAAGCCTTTTCATCTATGCTATGCTATGCTATTCATGCATAACATTCAATTAATATACCATGCTTAAAGTAATCAAAGTATAGAATAGATTGATCTGAAACAAAGATACGCAATACAACAAACAATGAAGTATGCTTAATTACGTAGCATATAGTTTCATCCAACTAGTTTGAGGTTTTATAATTTATTTATTTTTTTTTCTGGGGGAAAAACATCTATACATATGTTAGATCACGAGAAAAAGGACTACAATGGTTTCGTATACTATACTTTTGAATTTAGCGTCAATAGAGTCAACAACAACAAAAGAAAGGTGGAGAGAATTGAAAAACTAACAATAATTGTTGGTCAGAATGTACTTTCAACTAGAACAATACGCTTTTCTCAAAGGTCAAACAAAATATTATACGAAACATTTGTAAATCATCTGAATATAATGCAAAACAATTCAGTAAATACTATCAAAAGACAAGAATAGTTGAATAGACTAGTCGATACATCACAACCATCAATAGAGGTCATAAGTTCATGTCTCTTTTAAGTCAATCAATCAAGTCAGGATAGTGTGATTGATCAACGTTTCGTTAACATATGTCTCCGTGGCATAGCTCACGTTTGGTGCAATCATCATGTGACCAGTATTCAGGTCAAATGAAGGATACTAGGCAAGACAGGCGAATCAATTAATGAGGTTGTGAACCTTCAGCAACTGAAGTGGCTTGAACACGTATTGTGCATGCCAAGTCACAGCCTACCTCGACGTGCTATGTTACGCGAAGTTGGATTAAATTGCAACAAGGCTCACGGTAGTCACAAAAAAACATGGTAACATTCAGTCAAAACTCTAACTGTTGGTCTCAGGTGTACACTACCTGGCTGAGGTCCTGGAGACGATACAAATCAGTGGTTGACGAATCTTTATTACATACCTGGAAACTGGTCACCGTGACGCATATGTATTCACTATTTGACATCTTCTAAAGCTTGAATATTCGCACTAACCATTATCTTTAAAATATTTATTCCCTCGTACAACTTTGTCTACTTTGATATCAGACTTTTTCTGCCCACTTGTTCTTTTCATGCTGCTGTTAAATGTGGCAACTTGAACCGACGCACCTATGTATGAAGTTCTACATTGATTTTGCCAGTCAATTGTCAGTGTAGTATTTCAAGGCGGTTTCTTAAATAAGATGGCATGTCTGTATTACGTGAAAAGGATAAACTATTTCGGTGTTACAGATTTGTTATTAGGTGTAAAACTGAGGTGAAAAGGTTTTTTTTTCACACGAATATGAAATAACACTTACATAATGGATGTATATATATATACATGGATATATATAGGCTACTATTGAAGTGCATTATTAGATTGATCGGATAACATGGGTGGACTTGAGCCAACAGCTTGAGACTCAAGACTTGATTGTCTTGAGTGTGATTGATAACCTGATGAATAATAATCCGTTGGCATACTACTTTTAGATATCAGTCCGGATGGATCAACTGTGTCGACAACAACAACAACAGTTGCAGAGGGAGCAGTGGATGCAGCAACAGCAGTAGATGAAGAAAAAGATGATAGTGAAGAATCCTTTTCATGTTTCGGGTATTGTAGTGAATATGTTACAGGAGGTGGAGGAGAAGGAGGAGCAGGTGGAGAAGAATGATAATTTATGAGATTAGTATTCACTGTTGGTAACACTTGTATATCTGGTCGAATTTTTCGTCGTCTAGATGATCTTACTAACAGGACGCTATCCGTGGCGAAATAATCACATGCCTTTTTATCATAGTTACAATAATCTTCACAATTGTTATTACGAGGATAGTAAATATCATTTGAATTGTTCGAAGAGATACCAGAGATCCCATACGGTCTAGATAAATGATGAGGATGTGGTAAAGAATAACATGTTAGACTGTCTGACTTGACTGTATTAGAGATGACATTGTGACCAGAAACACTAAACTGTTGTTGCTTATCTAGTTCGGTAGACTTTGTTGTAGCAGTTCCTACTACTTCGTCTTGTTGACTTGGAGCATTACATGTAAATGATACAGGTTTATCTGATGACAGTGTAAGAGGAGACCGAGGCAGTAAACTTCCGATCGATGTAGACCCCGGTATAGATGATGTTGAACTTGATATAGGTGTAAGAGAACTTGAACCAGATAAATGTTCACCATCAGTGGGTTGAAATTGATCCGAATGATGAGATGATAATTTGGGTAGATTTGATGTTTGATTTGTATTTATCTGAACAGGGATTATATCGTTTTTGTACACTGACGGTTGCGAAATACAGTTCCATTCTGAAATGAAAATGAGAAAAGAAAAAAAGAATATCCGAAACATAAAGTGAAATTCCAAGAAAGTGATACAAAAAATGTCTATTTCAAGCAAAATTCTTTAAACCTAAAAGAGATATCAACTGAAATCTTCGGTTTCACATTGAACACGGAAACTTCTCAAAAACCAAACAAAGCGTTGTGGTGTGTAAAACTGTATTGAACTTTTTAAAAAGTCTATGATATCACATATTATTAACTGATAAGTTTATAATTTATGTGAGATAATTGTTTTATGAGTAATTGAAACTTGGAGGCTGCTTGCTCAGGCTATCAAATTTATCCATCAAACATTTTTCATTAATTTTTTTTCTTTTTGATTTGTTTTAATCATTTCAATATGTTTTTTGAATGTATCACATACTCTTCCACATTTTTTAACTACTTACAACTCTCCATTTAACAAGTCAATAATAAAGCAGAGAAAAAATGTTATCTTATGTTACATGAAAATAGACTTTGCGGTACACAAAACTACATCATATCTCTATACGTAAGATGCTTGCTTAGCTCAAGTTGAAGATTTCCTTATTATCTCAATGAACCATCACCATCACCGAAATTATGCTCGCATTTCTGTTGATTCCTCATTATCGAACAGACAACCATCCAGAATCACCTGGCCATTTCATATTATTGCTTTGAATGTTACTGTTGTTATTCACACATCATTCTGATACAATAACCATTTCGTCTAAAAATATAGTTCTCAGACTGACTTCATTTGTTTAAAAACTACATGCTGAGAATTGCATACTGTCATACATATTGTTTGAAATAAACCGATTATTATTACTAAGTAGATCCTGTCCAGAATACCGATAGTGGTATTGTGAGAGTGAAATCTAGTTTTCACATTTACAGAAGTACCACCTAAAAAGTACTACAAGAATACTCAGGATGAAATGATCGAAAGTTCAAGTCATTGAACACCGTAAACTGAAGTAGTGGTTTCATAGGCGTAAATCATATGAACATGCGATGATTTGTGCTACAAAATAGATGTTTCAATAAGAACATCCTGAAAAATACTGTTTATATAGACAAATCTAAAAAAATGCGCTCAATGAAGCTGCAAGGAGCATGAATATGAGGACATGTTTCAGCTAATAGAGCAGGTAACCAGCTGCTCATTAGCTATCACAGACAGATAAACAGAAGTAATTCGGTGCAGGTTGCTACAGTACCATTCAAGGAAAAATTGGAAAGAAATAGATATCACAATAGACGAAAGTGTATGGGTGAAGAGGAAAGAAACAAGCGAAGATTAGGTAAAGTTTTCATAATTTTGAGGATGTCAAAAAGTAAATAGATCTGTGCCACTGTAATCGAATTTAAGGCGTGTAATCAAGAGTTGATAAACAATGATTCCTATTATCTTAAGAAGCTCTGCTAGACAACCTATACTTCCCTGCATGGGTCAGACCAACAACTAAAGACTTCATGGATTAATACCAAGTCTTGAGATGGCTTAGCACACAAAACACATGTCCAAGCCACCTCAATCCCTGAAGGTTCGCAGCCTCATAGACTGAATTATTTTCACTGCCTAGTACCCTTCAAGTTACTTGGCTAACATGGTAATTGCACCATATGTTAGCAATGCTGCGAAGACAACTGCGGTCGAAAGCCTGCAATCTCTTCATATCTCCTAGTTTTATCTGCCATATCTCACAGTCGTATGTATACAGGAGTAAACGGCCTGCAGCCCACCATACTCGTCCTTTAATAAGTAATCGGATAAACCCGCCGAAGCTAGAGATGATGGAAACTGGTAAATGCTAAGTAGGCCTTCAATATCCAGCGACCAGCCCTTTTGGGCTGACGTAACTTCCTACGTAAGTTAAGTGGTCAACTCATTTTACCACTCCACTATCTATCCTTAAACGGGGAGTGGCTGGAAACGAGTCCTGCAGCATCATCTCACATCTTGGCAGGTGGACAAGGCATGCCAAAAATTTACGTTTTCGCTCGAGGTATTCACGAAGCTCTGCGTTTTGTCAGGATGTTTACCCAATAGAACAATTTAATTTGCGTGTTCTACGTCGGCTAGGCACCGTCCAAGAAGTAAGCTACTATCTAATGAGTTCAAATTACGGATGTTTACATCTATCAGTGTCTATAGCGAAGTTGGATAGGGACGGCAACAGTGGACACCGCTGGTTGTCGTCAATTCAGATGACACCTTTCAATAAGCCTTTACACGGCTGCGTGATTTCTAGTAGAGAGTCATGGTTAATGCTACATACTTTCTTGTTCCTTCCTTCACAGTCAGTAAGTATCATAACACTTCTCGATCACTAAGGTTGGATGCCACTGTAAGTGTCAGGGGCCAGAAAGTGTGCTTGTGTTCTAAGACTTGTCAAATGATGAAGACATGATCTATGCACTTTGGATTTAGGTCTGAAATCTGTTTAGCTTTCCCGACTTTTTGCTCTGGAGCTTCAGAGAGGTAACACATAAATGTGGATCTAAGGATTTTAGACCCGATGTTATTCAAACTGATTTGCCTCCAGTTGTCACAGGAGCACTTCCATCCTTTTTCATAAACTCAAGTGATAAGAGATTTAGACTTCTTTCTTCTACTCCGTATAGTTTCAGATTTGAAGTAACCATCTTAACTTCAAGAAGAGTTAGAGGACAGACGCTCACATACCATTCATGTTAGGATTGGATGTTGAACAACTGAAGTTTGGATGCAAGTCAAATACACTGTTCTCCAAAGTGTTTTGTTAAACACTTCAGTCTCTTGTAATGAGAAGTTATCAGGGAATCATTCTTTCCGGCTATGGCCTAACTAACCATCACGTCTCGCTTACCACTTTCCCTAAGAGACATAAATAATTGACCATTATAACTTAATCCTAGGGCCTTCTCCAACTATTTTGTTTTTGCCATCCATCACCACTTGCGATCACTGCGAATACTCTCAGTCAATTTATGCTTACTTTATTTTCACCCCTCATCGTGGTCAGTTTTTTCGCATCAATCGGTTGAGATAAAGTTTCGAAATTCTACTGGTTTTTGCTAACATTTTAATGCAGGTTGCCAACTACTTGTCGCTATTTCATTAGTAGATTAAATATAACGTCAGGCTTCATCGGGAAGAAAGGTGCTGCCATGTTCAGATAAATGCTTACCTGTCTCCTTTCTAAATACATAATTGACGTTCTCATCTTACAGTCGAACTCTGAGGTGTCACTTCTGTTGATTTCTTGTGTTCATAAGGTTTAATTACACATAACATATAAAATTACAACCAATGTTTTAGCAGATACTCCAAAAAGGGTGATCATAGTCTACAGATGTTATCTAACGATGGATTGTGCGGATCTGTATCCACCGTTGGTTTGATACCACGTGAGACAATTTTCCTCTAGATATGTTGACTAGAAACATGATTGTCAGAAAAGGGTTGTAGGAGAAAATAACAGCTGTCAGTTCGTCATCAGATATCGCAGACACCTGCATGATGCCTCTCCGACTTACTCAGCTACCCTACTTGGGCGTTGAAGTGGCCTGCTGCTACAACTATATCTAAAAGGTTTGTTTCATGAAGCAGTTTTTAGTAGAAATGATCGTTAGTATCATTCGCACTGAAGTCGGTGGGCGTGTGGGAGTAGAATAAGAATTGACATCGATGACTATCATAATCTTTCCTAGTACTTACATATTCATCTAACTGGACCTCGCATTGTTGGCTGTCGAACAGTGTCCAGTGAGAAGTGTGCTTTCTTCTCTAGAACTCGATGCTATACCTACACCAGCGAGTTCGTAGAAGGTAATCATCGGATCTCTGGTTTCTCGCGAAGTGAATTTCGCATATTCAACACACTGGTCAGGCGACAGCGTATGGCTAACCACATTTGGGTCCTGTTTGCATGTCACAAAAGTAGAGTGAACAACCATGGCTCGAGATTCCAGAGTCTTGGAAAGAGAGGCAAGTTGTCCGATTCGCCGTAGGGTTTCGACTTTGAAAGCCGAACTACAGAATCAGCAGAGAGGTTTTCGAAATAGCTTTTTGCTGGTTTAAATAGTTGGTGGTGATCACAGAATGGGAAGTCGAGGATACTACAAGGCGCTTCATGTTGGCATCAGGAATTCAAGGCAAGATGGAGACAATGGAAAGGTAAACAAGTTATGATTAGTTGGGTTTCGCATACTTCCAGAACCGTACTGCTCTCACTGTGGATGGTCAATTTTCATTGAAGCACCTGAAAAGGAAGCTGTATTAGTAATAGTGGGGCGTAACCTCAGATTCTCAGAGACATCCGATTGAGGCCAGTTACACAATGCCTTTTTGGAAATTCAGGATTTGACTTTGGTTGTCTCATTCCCGGCTAGGTGACCATATCATTCATACCAGAAAACTTCGGGCCAGAGAGGGGTGTGCTACTTTTAGGGACGGGCTTTCCTTACCCACCTCTCTCGCATAGGACAGGTGGTATCAACATAGACTACTGGCCATCATCTATGGGAAACATCCTACTGCTGCGGCAACCCCTGCCAATCCAGCTGGCAGTTGACGACTGACTTTAAAGATCACCTCGGTAACCACTGGAGTAAACACAATTAGGTTTTGCGATGTTGACTTCAAAGATAGATTTTTCATAAAATACGGAAAGTTAATACGCCTCTTAGGCGATTACTAGGGTAACGTGCTGTTCACGGGACCTGAAGGTACTAGATTCGATCCCTGACGATGTGGTGATGGATGTGCACTGGTGAGGAGTCCCATACTAGGACGAAACAGTTGTCCAGTGCTCCCAAGTTCCTACAACTGATGTTAGTCCATGGTGAATCCCAACCTAAAATCAACTAATAAACCTCCACAAACCTCTAGATAGAATTACTAGGGTAGCCTATAAAGTCAATCGACTCTGAAACAGTTGTGTAACTATGACACTGACAACGAATGTATACAAATCAATGAATGACCTACAGTATTTTGTGGAGCAAAACTT